AGTGGGAGTGGCTTGACATCCACGTGACCGAGTGGGAGTGGCTTGACAGTCATGTGACTGGATAGGCGTGGCCAATTTGAAAAATGTGGTGAAGCTCACTTAACAACGCTCTTGCTTAGCAACCAAAATGTTGGCTCAGAAACTCTGGCATTTGAAGCACGCAAGTCTTAAAGCTGTCAAATTACACGACCCTTGCACCCCTAACCCTTTAGAAAAAAAACCCTCAGGGGTGTTCAAACGTGACAGCTTTAAGACTTGTGGAATTCATCCTCTCGCTCTTCACCTTGATGATGTGCGGACAGGCGGGGGGAGGGAGCTGGAACCGGTTCTAAATGGCACTGTAAATTTGTGGAACCTCTTCTATAGAAGAGGTTAGAACTGGCAGGAACCCACACCTGCATTGTCTACATATCTTCAATTAAACAATCTTGATGATGTGCAGACGGGTGGGGGGGAGGGAGCTGGAACCGGTTCTAAACGGCACTGTAGATTTGTGGAACCTCTTCTATAGAAGAGGTTAGAACTGGCAGGAACCCACCCCTGATACATACATACATACATACATACATACATACATACATACATACATACATACGTATGTACGTACATACATACATTGTTTATGTATTTATATAGTGCCTTACATAGTCATAGAGATTTAAAAAGAACTCATAAGAGTCCTATATAGTATATAATTGAAAATTATCATTACAATATAAGCAGTCAAGGTGGAGGTAAGATATAGAGTTATTCATGGATCAGGGGAAAATCCATGATTACTTCAGCTACATTTACATTAGCAAGCAGTTCCAATGCTGTGATGTCTTTTGACTTGAAAACCCTTTAATCAATATTGCCATTGCTTATCCATATTGCTGATTTCAACAGATCTTTATGTTTTTCTCTGTTTTGCAAAGCCATATGAGCAAACTAAAAAAAAAAAGCCATCCTGATATTTACTTAAAACAAGAAGGAAGTATCTTAAAATATCTAGGTTCAATTTTAGTGTTCTGGGGTACTTACAGAAGGACATAATAGTATACTTGTATGAGGTTGCCCTATGCTATCCCACAAATCTCTGATCGATTGTATTGCTACCATATTTTTGACAAATAAGGAAACTTACTTTTTGTTGCTTACACATTCCTAGATTTGCTGCTACTGGCTTTCTAACTGTAGTAAGTGCAGATTGGGATGTGCTGAATCTGCAACAGGGGTCCAAATGCAGTTTCAATTATAAGCATAAAATTAGAGTCTGTTCCCCATTAATCAGCCCAGCTAATTGCTATGCACTACCATTAGCCATATGGTGTGAAAGACAGCTTGCTCTCTCTAAGATGAAATTTCTTCATTCCAGAAATGAAACAGTGAAGGCCTGTGCTTCAAAATAGCTTGTTATAGATACATAATTCCTAAACAACTTTCAACAGTGCCTTTGATCAAGACTAACAATATAATAAAACTATAAGTTGGTATCATCAAAATGGAATATTCACGAGTAGGCATCCTCTGAAGGGAAGGAGACAAAGAAGAACACGTTATAGAAGAAAAATCATAGATGAGTCTGATTGGAAAGCCAAACTGGATTAGAATTTCATTCTGCTTCACTGTAAGCTATGGTTCCTTTCACAATGGCTTCATAAAGGAGAACATGTTCTCATGCCAGCTTATGCTGCTCTGCATGTGTGGAAGGTAGCAGAAACAACTTCAGAAACTTATTTATAAAATGTGCTGTACATTTGACGGCTCATGAGAATGTGCTCCAAATCCACAATTTTCTGTCTTCAGTTTAATTCCTAATGACATACTAATGTGATTAATATTTTTCTAGAATTTCATAGCTGTTATATATGTCTATGGAGGAACAGGTCAAGGAAATAACTTTCCTAAAACTACCTCATACACTTACAATTTCAAGTGAGGTACAAACCAGAACCTGTCTACTTTACCATTCATTCTTTAGACAGCTGTCTAAAACAAAAATGATGAGTAATTCTGGAGTGGATTTCTCAATGGATTTTTCTTTGTCTGATGTAAACTGGAGTTAACATTTTCATTCTTCGTTAATTTATTGATTTTACAATTATCCAGAATTTTAAAAGGTGCTTGAAACAATATTATTTATTTATTTATTTATTTATTTGTGGGTGCTCCATCACTGGAGGTTTTAAAGAAAAGATTGGACAACCATTTGTCCAGAATGGTATAGGGTCTCCTGCTTGAGCAGGAAGTTGGCCTGGAAGAGGCCAAGGTTCCTTCCAAATCTATTGTTCTGTTATTTCTTGGCTCCTGGCAACTGTCTGGACAAGTCTCTGCCTTCTTCCAGACAGAAGAATCTTCCATTTGTCTATCAGATTATATGAATTTATGGATCAAACCAGCTGGTATGCATGATAATTCACCTCTAAGCCAGCTTTCAGGCTTAGTCTGATGTGAGAACTGGTCTGGTGTGAAAAGTCTCTGAATTATTTCCCTGTGTTCTGGTTTGTTAATATTTTTCCTAAGATACTTGATGTTAATTCCCATCATTTTAAATAACCAAAGGCCATGACACCTGGTTGAGGGGGGTCATTTTATGGGAAAGATAATCCAAACTATTCCAAAATTAGAATAGGGTTGCAGAAAACACCATTTTTTTTGCCAGTCAGATTTTGTTCATGCGTTATATTTTAGAATTTATGAACTAAAGCCTTCCCTTATTTGTCTCAATAAAAAGAGGAGGAATAGGGAATCTATTCTGGTTTTGTTGATTTTATCTAATGGTATAACAGTCCTGGCATTTACTGTATTTATATGAAAGAGAAAAAATAAATAAATTTCCCCTTTCATCAACAACTTACCTTTATGATGGAAGCCAGATTAATTTTAGTTTTACTTCACTAATAGAAAATTAAGCTTTTTAAATATAATCTTAGCAGTGTGTGTGTATGTTTAATTGAGCTTTATCTTTCTTTCCAGTAAATATGATAATTTCCCCAGAATAGTAACAGTGGGAGGGCAGGGAACCAACCAACCATGCAATCTGATCATTTTTCAGTATTTGGGGTAGGATGTAGGATGTCGGAGCAGAATTATATTATGTCTGGGACTATAGTTTGATATGCAACAGTACTGTAAATGCAGATCTGCCACTTAGGGTTACATTGCATTTATTTTATTATTTTCTTTAGTTTAAATAAGTATCTCTGGGAATACAGTATATTACATTTGCTATGCCTTTTAAAAAAGTTGTTGGTTCATAATCTGGAATTCTGGGTATCATTTTGCTCTTTTCATTCACAAAGATTTTTGGAATCACGATGTCCGTTTATTTTGAAAACACCGAGATTTTCAAGATTTTTGAAGGGCAAAAAAATCATTGCACATAATCTTTTTTTTTTGTTGCTTCCCTGTGGGTGGCTGCTACTACCCTTGTTTGAGGGCACCTTGAACCATCTGCAATGTACTTGGAGGTCATTAGTATCAGCCTAGAAAACTAGGATTATGAACTGTAAAAGTTGTGCTCTCCCTTTTCCCTTTTCTGTGTGTATGTGGTGGTTGTTGTGTGCCAGCTGTGAAAGAAGTCAAACCTAGTAATTAACCCATATGTGACCTACCGTATTTGACTGATTTCCAGGCAGGGAGAGAGCGGTAACTCTAGCCAGCAATACCATCCTTTCTGTATCTGTAATGATGGTTTTAAGAGTGTAATAGCTGCACTAAATCCTCTCCTTCTTGCTCCATAGCCGCTGTTGTGACAAGAAAAGCTGCGGCAACAGAAATGAGACTCCTTCAGATCCGGTGATAATTGACAGGTAAGGGCTGCTGTTCTTTGGTGTAGATTTATTTTGAGAGGGTGTATTTGTCTGTTTGTTCGTTGCACCACGTTATTACTGGAACGTCTGTCCTGTGTTGCTAATGGCCGAAGAGCGATGCTTGTCTGTGGGCGTCATTTTGTGGTTTATTTGGAATTAGCGAGGCTGTGAGGTTTTGATTCTCTGGGAAAAGCCAGATGGGGTGGAAGTGGGGGAGAGAGGGCTTGGTGGATGATTCTGGTGAGAAATTCTGATTCATGTTCGTGTGGAGGATATTTTTCTCTGCAACTTTCCTTGCCTTGATTCGCAGGCTGGGCCTGGGAAAGCGTCAGGGATATAAAATAATAAGTTAGTGATTTATGAAATGTGGCTGGGTGCTTATAAATATTTAACTTTTTACTTTGAAAAATGTTTGAAGCATTATCACTTTTTAGCTACAGTAGTGCTCTTGGATGCAATCCATCTAAATTGTAAGGTTTATTTTATTTGTGCATTAAGAGATGGGCAAACTTAAGATTCACCCCCCTCCCCCTCACCTCAAGTCTATTTTCCTCCCCCTTCTCCTTTAAGGTCTCCAGATTGTTTTCTTTGGTTCGAGTGCAGTTTTGATTGTATTGTTAGTTGATTAATTCATTTTCTCTGTCTTAATTATTATGGCTTCTAAACCGACCCAAATTACTAATCTGCCATGACCGAATAAATCACTATAGAACAATAAATTCACCGAGTTGGTCTATATAATTTGCACGCAGCAGGCTTGCAAATTAGGCCGGGCTGTCACCAAATAGTCTTCTTTACATTTTAATTATTGAAACTTGTCATACAGAAACATATGATAAACTGTTACATTGTCACCAATTACTCCGTGAGAGTTAGGTGACCATGCAGAGCTGATACTGAATGCCATCAGCTAAGCTGGATCAGTTTAGAATCAAATGTCTCTTGTTGTATTATCTAGATCTGCCTTATTGGCACCCTTCAGATGAATTGGGTCTGTCATTTCGAGATTTGTAGCCAGGGCAGTTGAGAATTCTGGGAGCTGTGGTCCAAACATAGCTGGAAAACATAAGGTTAGGGGAAGGAATCGAAGATACTGTGAACTGTGTTCAATTCATAAACATTTCTTTGTTGAGTTGTACTAGAAGTATACTGAAATGTAGTGAAATTCTGTTATTTTGTGTTGAGAAAACATGATGTAAAAGCAATAATTGCCTCTATGTATAATTCTAAATCTGCATATTAGTGAGGAAGCTCCATTAAACTCAACAGAATTTACTTTTTGTTGTACTGTTGGTACAGTTTTCTCTCTCTCCTTAAAAAAAAAGCTATATAATTTTGTAGAGTAAGTAAATGTTTTAAGTAAATTCCAATGGCATTACATAATGTAACAATTGCACATTAAGGGTTGAGAAAACTTTTTTTGGGTACATTGTGGGGTTCTGTGTAATCATTCTAGGCAAGATCTGCACTCTGGCACTCATGTAGTAGCTAAATAATTAAGAAATAATTGGAGATCTATAAGATATTAATTATGGCACTGTCTGCTCTATTTTTGTATTTTTGAATCCCCCTTCCTTTCCTTTCCTTTCCTTTCCTTTCCTTTCCTTTCCTTTCCTTTCCTTTCCTTTCCTTTCCTTTCCTTTCCTTTCCTTTCCTTTCCCAGAATATAAACAGACAAAAATAAATTTCCATTGTGTTTAAACTGAGAAGAAATCATGATAAAAACCCATTTTAAACCATGATTTAAAATCCATTTTATGAAGCTGATAACTATTATTAACTGCTTCCAGAGCACTGAGAAATGTAGATGAATAGAGGTTTCTTGATTGGTTGTGTTGCAAAGATTGCTTGTGTTATATGGGCAAAGTTCTTGTTTTGTTCTTTTTACTAAGAAATGTTTTTTTTTAAAAAAATCCAGACTACCCTTTCTGTTTTCCTCACAGCTCTTGGTCCACCATACCATAGTTGTACAGAACTTTTGACCATGCAGTACTTTTAGTTGGTTTCACGAAAAATCATTTTCATTTATAAGGTTTACTCTTACAAATGTTGCCTTGTCACCCACTTTGAATATGAACCGGCTAATCTTTGAAAATTCCTCTCTTGGTTTCAAGTGGTGATTTTGATAGGGAAGTTTGATATAACTGTGGTTTGAATAACATGTGATTTTGACCTGTTCCTGTGGGTTGCAGTGGCACAAGAAATTTGACTCAGACGAGCTGTAATTAGCCTTGCCTGTGTTTTTGAAACAGGATTGGGTTACCTGAATTGCATTAGTGTGGCTTCTATTGTTGCCGCTTAGCATCTGTCCCAGTAGGGTACTTAAAACCTTTTTCTTGGCCAGGGATAATTCAAACATTTACGGAAAAGAAAGTAGGTGCTTTGTACAGTTGGTGGCTCTGGTGAGACGAGTGACATCTACTAGTGTAATTTTCCCCTTTTGATTTTGAAAAACGAAAAGCAATCTGCATGGAACTCACATTTAAAACGGAATACTTCACCAATTGTGTTAACTTTAAAAAGCTGTCATGAGCCACAGAACATATGTTGAGTTGCAGTCTGCTGTCACTCCTGCATGCATAAAATTGTAAGCTATTATGCCAATTGATATGCAAAACCATGACTTGCTTTTTTTGTTTGTTTGTTTACTGCCAAGTGAGCCTGTATAGGATAAAGAAAGAAGGTTTGGAGAGTCTTATGCCCAGCAGAATGTGCAACCTATTTGGCCTGAAGTAACTTTAACACAAAATGGTGACCTTAGAGGTTACATGTAAGCAGGTTGAGACCATATTGAAAACATGTACATATTTCTATGTATAGGTGATCTTCCTTTATCTACATTTATATAATTTGGTTTGGGGAATGCTTGGTGAACCATTTTTGTGTGTGTAAGGACATGTTATATACTACTGTAGATTATTTGAAAATTAATGAATAACAGCTTTGATGTATAAATATTGGCAATCTCTTACAAACGCTGTGAATATCCAGGATTAAGTGCTAGTAGATGGTGTATTTGTTGCTATATAAGATCTCTAGATAGGAGATCTGATATCCTGCAGATATTTTGGACTTTAGCTCCCCAGAGCATTAATTAGCATGACCATCAGCTAGGGACTGGGGCAGCTGTACGCCCTGTGGTCATCCCTACCCATATATGTACTAGACTCTCTTCTACTGCTACTTGTAATAGATTCTCTTCTAGTGGATATTTCTATAAAACCTTCTTTTGCTATCATGTATCTCTTATACTAATTTATCACAATGTGAGCTGTAAGTGTTGTATACTGTATTAAGTGAGAGATTTCTGAGCCCCTCTCGAAACTATTTTCTGATTAATCTTCTCTGATCAGGTGCCCTTCAGATGTGTTGGAACTACAATGAACATAATTCCCAGTCAACATGGCCATTGGCCATGACACTTGAGATTGATGAGATCAAAGTCCCAACATACCTGGAAGGCATCAGATTTTTTGAAGGTTGCAGAAGTCAGGCTGGGGAAGGACTGCATTTAAAGGACCATGCTAGAATTGTGTCATGGCCAAAGCAGTTCATGAATTGGGAGTGTGTCTGTGTGTGTGTGGGGGGGGGGAGGCAGAATCTCATAGATTTGGTAGGGAATGCAACTCATATGTTTTTGGAGAGGTGACTTTTACCACCACAAATTGCAGTCAAAGTGACTTAAAACCACGTTGTGTATTGTAACGATCTGCTTTTGCCACCATATCTGGAAAATATAAAAACTGATATAAAATATAAAAAAAATCTAGGATTTTTTACCAATTCAATTAAAAAAACAACCCAGGAAGTTAACAGAAAAAAAAGTGTGTGTGTGTGTGTGACACTCATTTACACACATAGGGATCCTTTGGTTACATCATGTGCAAATTCCAGCACAAACGCATACATCAAAACACCAAAGGTGAAATATGCAGGGGTACTTTTTAAAGCTTACTGTATCAAAGGTGACTATATATTAATCTCCAAAATGCTAATAATAGAAGATTATCTCCTGAATCCCAGACAGCTAGTCCTTTGTGCATTTTCTCCTCCTCGTCATTGGACAGAAACAACCTGCAATTTGTAGAAAATCCAAGTATGTGGTAGAATCTGCTTCGTAACTATTATTTAAAGGAGTGGTGCTTTTCAGACACCCTCCCCCCACACCATTCTATAAAACTGCATGTTATTTCATGAAGATGAGGAAGTGACACATCTTTAGAGGATGCACAATGATGCAAAACAACTTGATAGGCAGCCATCTCTATTACAAGGGGCACAGTACATGTTCAACCTAGTAGCAGAAAAAAAGAAAAGAAAGGAAAAAAATAAGAGGAAGCTACTTCCTGTTACTATATTCCAAACCGAGGAACGTTCCAACAGTGTCTCCAATTTGAATTTAAAAGGTTTGCCATAAAATTCCTAGGCAGGACTGGAATACATTGTATTTTTATTGCCACATTGGATATTCTTATGTCCTAACCTCTTTTCTCCCCTATAGTTATTCTAGTTCAATAAATAAAACCTCATTAGACTATTCCCATTTCAATGAGTTTATTAAATTTTACAGGAGCAATTAGCATAAGCTGTGCTAATTTTTCTGGAAGACTAATGAGAGAGCTTCTTAATTAGGTTTGCTTTGTAAAAATCTGAAAACATGATAATGAAAAAAAGTCACATAGGGTGCAGTGCAACAGGAAGGAAATGTCTTATTATTTCTTGATTTGTGAAGGATGGTTCTGTATTCTGGCATACCCTCAAACTTAAGGCAATAAAAAACCACCACGGTTGACCCCTTTTGAAACAGATATTTGGCCAAATCCTCACTCCTCTTTTCATGGGTGAATTGAGTGCGCCCTTGTTCACTTGATTAGGGAACGTCTAGAAAAGAATTTCCATTTCCAATGTATGTGGCCAGATCACTATAGTATAAACCAATGGTGGGATTCAGCCAGTTCGCACCTATTGGAGAGAACCGGTTGTTAATTTTCTAAGCAGCC